GCAGAAATCAGCTTTTTATCCAAGTAAAGAGACAGACGAAGGCTTCGCCCTACCGCCTTAGTCGGAATTTATTTGCTCGTGCGTTTTGTTACATGGACATTAGGACTGAGGTTGCAGAACGAGGTTGCAAAATATTTTAATCCTGTACCTATTAAAGAGCTCATTGGCACCCGCAGGCGACATTAACGAGCAGCCGCTTCGTTCTATAAATAGCTCCCGCTCTGGGTTTAATGGAGCGCTTCCCCGCCAGCCCCTCGCGGCCGAGGCCACGGGCTCCTCATCATCGTTTTAATCTATCCCGGCGAGCAGAACTGATGGATTAACGCACCGCCGGCTGGGGCTGGGCGGCCGGGCTGCGGAGGAGGGACATCGCGCTTCCCGCAGTTCAGGGGCTACATCGAAAGCGCTAAAATGAAGGGTCCCACCATTTTGGATTCGAGAAAGGGGAGGGAGGGGGGTGGGAAAGAGGAAAGAGGGGGAAAAAAAAAAGGTGTTTGGGGGGCATTGTGAAAGGAATGCCAAACAAGCAACGATGTCGTGTTGCTGGGTCGCTTTGTGTGCTCGGGTTGCTCGGTTTCCTTTTCTCCCCACCTCGGCTTTGGTTTGCCTTGGTTTTACACGGAATACCTGCCTTGGCCATGAGACGTGGGCCGCGATGGCCGGTTCGACCCCGCTCGGACCCTGCCCCCCGCACAGCGCAGGGAGCGCTCCTTTTGGTGTGAAGTGCTGAAATCAGTGAAATCAGTCAGTGATTTCGAATTACAGACCTGAACAAGCCGACGCTTAACGATTGCGATCGAAACCTCTCGTCCCTCCGTTTCACAACGCATTATCCCAAACCTTCCATATCCTGGAATTACAAGGCTACAGGAACGCGGACACCTCAGAACTGGCCTTTCCGCGCGTGTTAGTGTCGAAAGCCGCTTTAACGGGGGCTTCAGCTCGGAGAACAGGAGGCTTTTGAACCACGTGTGTGCCCTTCCGCCTGCTCCTGTTTATTGTGTATTTGATATTTTCGGCAATTATCTACCCGGGATTTACGTGTCACTTCTCCCCAGCCAAGTGGCCGGATAAGGAATTAGCCACTTTCCAGCCGAAAGCTGAGCCGGGCCGAGGATCGCAGTCGCCGCTCAGGTTTTGAACTGGTTGAAGGAAGCGTCACGTAGTGCGAAGCGGGGGCGGCTCCTCCTCAGTGCTGGAGCTGCGTCCTTCACCCCGACCCCGCTAGCCAGGGGCACCCGCGGCGATACCCGACACAGCAAAACAGCCCGGAGGCGGCTGCAGACCCCGCAAGCTCCGTCCCGGGCGGTGCCTCCCGGCCCCGAAGGCAGCTTCGCAGCGACCATCTCTCCAGGGCAGCCGCGTGGCGGGGACACAAACTCGGGAGCCGAGAGGAGGAGCTGGACTCCTCCTCCTCGGGGCAAATCCTGAGGTGCCAACGCTGTCACTCCTAACTCTGGATTTGTGGTCTCGCTGGGACACAGTAGCTCTCGCCGTGGCGACACTGATGTCACCTCAGTTTCAAAAGCTCGGTATCTTTCAATGCAGTGGATGAAAACGCCCCCGAGCGGAACCTGCGCGGGACGTGGCTGCTGCTGGCGGGACTTGGCTCCTTGCGCTCCCCCCGACAGGACCCGCCAGGAGAGTCGCGAACCACCACGCGCGTCGCTCCCCGTTAACGTCCCCGGCACGGGAGGCAGCCGCGTTAATTCGCCTCACATCGCTGTCCGCCGCCCCGCGGCCAAGGGGATGGGCTCGCCCGCCGTGCCGGCGCTGGGCTGAGGTGGCGGCTCTGAGAGGGGCTGCCTGTCGCACAGCTGATGTCCGCCTTGCAGAGCTTTCCCCCCTGGCTCCTGCCCCCGAACACCTCGGGGAAAGACAAGCTGGGGGAAAGACGTGAGTCCGCGGGCCACGAGAGCGAGGGGTCTGAGAGCGGGTGGGAGTCTGGGCCTCTTCCCCCCATCGCGGGGCCCTGCAGCACCCGGTGAGCGGGAAAACGGCTCTTACCGGAGAAAGGGGTGATTTATTGCAGGAACCATTAGAAGTAATTACAGAGAAACTACGAAATTCCATCAAACCGGAATGGCTGCTCCTAATTGGAGCCAGCAGAGAGATTGACTTGCATTAATATTCTGGATTGTCAACTAACATTCCTGAGAGTATCACAGGGGAAGAGTAGCGAGCAGGTTATTGCTACGGCACGGCAGTGAGCGCGGCGCTCCCGCGGGCTGCCTGCGAGCTGGCCCGGCGGCTCCTCGCGCTCCGGGCACCGCCCCCGAGGCCCGCGGTCTGCGCAGACCAAGGCCGCTTCCGAGGCACCTCCCGCAAAGCCAGCTCCCTGCAGCGGGGAGGCCGAACACTTCGTTACCGACGTTAAAAGCGGAATGGGAAACTACGCCTGTGGCTAAGCGTCCTTAACGGAAAAAATAATGAAAAACAAGTGCCGCTCCCGCTTTGCTCTCGCCCACGGTCCGCGCTGCTAACTCGCGGTTCCCCGGCTGCAGAGCTCGGGCAGGGGGTCGTTCCTGCCTTGCGTGGTGCTGCTGCTGCCGGTCCTGTGCAGAGCCCTGTGCAGGGCCAGAGGCGCCGGGCGTGGTGGCGTTGGCACCAGAGCCCTGTTCGGGTGGGAAGCGGCAGCTCTTGGGGCGTGCGGGGGTCCTGGGCACAGAGAGGAGGGTCTGCTGGAGCTGCCGCTGCCCGGAGAGCCCCGCGGGGCGATGCTCGGGCGCGGGGACGTTCGCAGACTGCGCGCGAGAGCACCAGAGAAGTGAAAGTGGCCCTGATTTCAATCATACATCATTGCCCTTGTCTGTTGGGTCCATAAACTTCGCCTGCAGGCTGAAATAGCATTGACTTATCCTGAACTCTCTTCCAGTGGCTGATTACTGAAGTGGAATCTGTCTGATCGACTTAATAAGAATTTACCACTGCACTAAATGACGAAAATTTGTTTTTTTGCATGGCTGGGTTTTTGCAGTTGATGGCATTTTGAGCTCTCCCTCCTGGAGGCAAATAATCTCCATAAATACTCTTATTCCTGACCTCATTAGATAGATCCAGAGCAAACACCACTTTGCACTGTTGTCTAGAGAGCTGCTGTAGACATTTCAAAACATGCTGGGAAGTGAGAAAACTCTGACCTGTGCTCCTTGCAATAACAACGTAGGGTTCCTGCAGAGAACGAACAGCCTGGAGGACAAGGGCCGCCTCGTGAGCTCCCTGAAGGAGAAACAGTCCTCCAAGAGCCTGCTGGCCTGCGAGAACAGCGAGCGGGAAGGCCGATTCAGGCGCACCGAGACGGACTTCTCCAACCTCTATGCCCGAGGTGAGAACCCTGTGGAGCTCCTGCTTGTCCCAGTCAGGCTCATCCCTTAGCAGGTTCGCCTGTGCTTCCCATGGAAGTGCAGCCGTGCGCAGACCTTGCTTTTGCTTGGTCGCTTTTAGGGAAACTTGTGTGCTTGGTAGGATCCCCCGTCTCACAATGTTATAGACTTGGGGCCGCTTCAGTACAGCGCAGCTGCAGCAATTCCTCGGGAGGCACTCGCCCCTAGGAGCAGAATGGTTTCCTGTTTTGTTTTCCTCTCAGTAAACCACCAATGAGACCGGGTTGCTGGCAGGGGCGGCTGGCGAGGAGTGTGGGCAGGATCAACCGGCTGTCTCGGGCAGGTGCGGGACTTGCTGCGTGGGCTGTGCCCCCCGGGACAGGCCCGGCGCCGCTCACTGCGCTCTTGCTCGCAGATTTGCTGCCCGCCAAGAACGGCGAGGAGCAGACCATGCAGTTCCTACTCGAGGTCGTCGACATTCTCCTCAACTACGTGCGGAAGACGTTTGATAGGTCTACCAAAGTGCTGGACTTCCACCACCCGCACCAACTCCTGGAGGGCATGGAGGGCTTCAACCTGGAGCTCTCGGACAACCCGGAGTCCTTGGAGCAGATCCTGGTGGACTGCCGGGACACACTCAAGTACGGCGTGCGGACAGGTAGGTGCCCGTCCCGCCCGCACCGGCCCCCGGCAGCGCTGGGGCTGGCGGCGGCGCCGCCTCCCCTTGACGAAGCGCGAGCTGCTCTGTCTCCAGGGAGCAGTATCATTAGGTAAATGAGGGCATAAACGACACAGAATTTGCAGTTTTTCTTCTTTATGCTCACCAGACGTTTAATGAAAAGAGAGGCTGAGTCCTCGCGGGCGCCAGCCCGCCGCGCGCCCCGACACGGGCAGAGCAGCCGCGCGCGCCCGCCGCGCTCCCCCAACAGCCCCTCAGCGGCGTCTGGGCGGGCGCTGAGCCGCTCTCGTCGTCTTGCCGGCGACTCAGTAAAAACGTCTCATATTTTTTCTTACTTAATGTGGCAATTAAGTAGTTATGTAAAGCTGAACAGCTGAACAAAGGATTTCTTTTACATCACTGATATACACAAATATCCCGGAGCACATGGTAAGTGAAACATTCTGATATGGTAATGTGAAATGTTTTCTCTTCTCTTAGACTTATCTTTTCCAGATTTTAAAGATTTGTTCTTAGACAGTAATTCTGTCTAAAGAATTGAGTAATTCTGCAACTCTTCATTTATTAACAGTAGCATACAAATATTTAGAACTTTATGCTTCCTTTTCTCCTATTGACTTCAAAGCGAATGGGCTTGGGGCCTCCTCTTCTCCTGTTCATCTGCTGGCAAAGTTGATGGTTTTGGGTATCTTCAAAAGGATTAGAAATGCAACACTGACATTTAATTTGTTGATAATGAAGGAAATAGTCGATCTAAATTTGTCACAGTTTTGTGAAAAAAGTATCAAAAGTATATCAAAGAGAAAACATTTCCTACTTTTTCTTGTCCTTAAAAGTAATTAAACTTCGGGTCTAAATGTGAACTTTTGCAGCAAGGAGTATAATTCAGGGGAAAAGAAAAGAAAAGAGGCAGTTTTTATTAGTATACTGATTTGTATATGCTCCAAAATGTTCTGACAATCCCAAGACTTGGCAGGTAACAGAAGCTGCCTTCTATTTTAGCCCTGTATTGGGCATTTTAGCTTTGTTCTTTCAATCTAAACCTATAGTTTGGGAGTGTAGACTTAATGTTGCTAATTGGCAGAACACAAGAAATGTATCTGCAAATTGAAAAATGAACACATTTTTTACTGGCCCTTCCATGAGTAAATGGTTCATTAAGTAGAGCTGATTATTAGCAGCTCTATGTAGATTACAAGACGTGCCTGTTTTGTGACATTGGTGATAAAGAAAACTACATAAGATACTTCAGCCAAAACCAGCCTGCAGTAATTGTCTTAATTAGTTCTCTGTTAAAAATCTATATGAGACATTCAGATGCAAAACATTGGCTGGAAAAATGAAACAGACAAACAAAAAACCCACAGCATGCATTTAAAACTTAAAGCAAATACCACAAGGTGCATCTCTCTCTCTCTCTCTCTCTCAACAACATCACAACTAAAGGTGAAAACAGATTCCATTACATTTCCAAAGGAAAAGTTTGTTTAAATACTGCTTCCATATGTGAGGAAAGCATACTGCATTGCTTAGGCACAGCCTGTCATGTTTTGTAAGCCACATTTCTTTTGACTAACATCCTAAATGTCCCTTTGTGATCAGGGAAATAGCACAGAAATGATAAGGTGAAGTAGAATTTTGCTCCGCAGGAGAATATGATAATCTTGGAAGTATTGCTATGGTTATTAAGAACATGCAATTCATTCAGTTCCACAAGGGTAATTCTTTCTTCATGAGGTTGCTTTACTTTTCTTTGGTTGGTTTTAAGAGCGTTTTATTAAACAGATAGTTAGTTCTGTAAAGCGTATGGAGCATATATACTTTAAGTGAGAACATATGTTGAAAATAATTTTCTGCAAGCTTTTTTTTTTATAGGGTTTACCAAAAGCAAAATAATACATTCTTCTCTCTTTTTCTTAACCCTCTCAGCAAATCAAGGTCAATATGCTGTGTTATTTTAAAACACAGCAATTACAGATACAGATAAAGCAAGATGTTTGTGAAATATGATTCAAAGAACTGACAGAGAAGGTTATTTTAAACAGTCAGTGCAACTCTTGGTGCTCTGGGGAATATATTATTTGTTTTGAGCAGTGCTTCAGCACAGAAGAGCAGGTTCTGACCTTTATCTAGAAATTGTTCTGACCTGCTAGACAAGCATGTAATGTGACAGTAGCGCTAGACTGTGATAAGGAATTCATTTTCCGTTGCCATTTTTCTTTAGATAGCTATGAACAATACTTAAAATATTGGTGAACAATTAAAAAATAAGTATTTTGTTTCCCTAATGAATTTTGAGTAATGAAAACACTGGTGACTCTTAATATTTTAAATTGTCATAAAATGTTATTTAAATGTCATGTGAATACATCAAACTAAATATAATAACCTTTCCTTAGAAATGATGTGTCAATAAGACATTCACAGCTCAACCATTAGCATAAGATGTTTAGAGAAATTTACAGGTGGAATTTGCTGCTGCTGTTCAACCAGAGCCAGAGATCTGTAGCATGGGCGCTCACCTCAGCCAGCTGCTGAGGTTGGGAAGGGAAAGCATTATCTCAAAATTCCCTCCATTTCCCCTGTTAGCCCAGATGAGAAAATTATACTGGTAGTATCAGCATTATGCATTTATACCTATGCGAAGATAACACATGCAAATTATGTAAAGTGCTTTATGTTCATTTTACCTGCTGGCAAACAGGGGAATAAGGAGATAAAATGATTTGTCCTGATAAAAATGCTGCAGCCTTCAGGTGAAAGTGAAGTTAGGCCAGCTCCAGGCACTACAGAAAATAAATAAATAAATAAATAAATAAATAAATAAATAAGACTGACATTCATATATTCTGTTAGCAAAGAGATGAGACTGGTATCCATTTTAGTTAGTTCTTAGAAGTACCTGTAAAGGCTATAACTGTATGGAAAACCTCATCAGGATTTTTCATCAAGTGATTGGTTCTGAAGTAGCAAAGGGTTTTACCATGCCAAATGCATATTACATATTTTAGTGACATTTTCAAAATCATTTAAGTTTAAGAAAAATAATTTGGAGAGTTCTTTGCCAAAATGCTATTTCAAAAACCCCAGCCTTCGTGTAATACGGCTCCACTTGCATTATCATTTGTAATCATCTACAAATTTCTTTTATTGGATTGTCAGTTTTTGGAGATTCAGAAAATAAGTACCTAATAAAATAAATAAGTATTATTTTGTTTGATTTTAGGTTTGATTTTAGGTTCAACATTTCCTCTGTGAACAATTGACATTTTATTTTAAATATGTTATATTGCATACATGTATGTAACTTGCCAAAATCTATATGCTTTCTATACAAGTCTCTAAATCTTCCAGGATGTAGACATCAGGAGGTATGTTCTCAGGACAAAATTGAAAATGCATTTAAAATGATACAAAAAATTATGTTGACTTAAACAAATCTTGCTTTAAGTTACAGTAGTTTATATGGTGCTTAGTTCCTATGGACTTCTGTTGGTCATTCTGTCTGAATAAAGGTTGGAAAATATCCTAGACATGTAGTGTGGGGAAAAAAGAAAAAAAATCAACTCCTGTAATTTGGCTCCTTAGAAGATTTGCTATTAAGAAACCAGGCACCAACTGGTTTATTAATTCTGTCTTTTCATAATTTTCAGCAACAACTGATCTCCAGATCAAATGGCTTTCTGACATGTCTGATGATGATACAAACAAAATAAATAGTATTTTGGGCTTTCAAAACTAGAAAACAATACTATTGAATCTTAAATACTTCAAAAATAGTGCTATTGTATCTGTGATGAATTAACACCATGGGAAAGGTTTGTTGAAAAAAATGAATAATTTATTTTAGGCAGTGTGGATATAAATAGAAGAAAATCTTTCAGTCACACATTACCTTCTTCAGATAATTTATCTCCTTAAACTTTTCCATATCTATTCTCAAAAATGTAATGTTAGTATTAGGAGAGACAGCACACAGATTTTTTTATCTGTATTATTTAAATGAAAGACTTACTGAGTTATTATCTTGCAGATCCCTTAAGAAATCCCAGGCTGACTGTTTAGTTTTTCTGCCTTTTTTTTTTTTTAAATATGACAAGCAGAGTTTATTTACAGCAGTAGTAATTTATCCATGTATCTTGATCACCAAAAATGGTTGTATGACTGTCACTTTCCATCCATATATCTGTCCGTGACATCATGGCTTATTAGACCATGCAATGTGTTTGCCCTCATTAGTGGGTACAACAGTTGACTGCTATCTTGTTTTTTTTTTTGTAATTGGTAATTAGAAATTCATCATTTATAATTACTCTTGACAGTTATTGATCATATGGTATTGTAGAAATAAGTTGTCCTTGGAGATCAACAGAATAAATCCACATAATTAATTATATTTAGACTTTGAAGCCCTAGCTCAATATCTCTAATTTTGCTTGAGGTTAGCTGGGTGAAGTTCACTGTTTTCATAAGTTTTTTGGAAGTATGTTATTCCCAAAGTGTGAAATTGGCACTTTGGTAAACAAATAAGTTGCAGTCTGATTTTGCATAACAGTGACCAGCATTGTGATGGTGAGTACTAGTCTCCTGTTGACTATATAGAAAAGTTACTAAAGACAGGATGTTGTAGTCTTCATTGACCAATCCTGCCAATATTCTTTTCCTGTTTTTTTTTTTTCTTTAAGTAAAGATTGCAACATCAGACCCTCAATTTATGGAATTTTTTTTAGGAATCTTCAGCATTTTTACTAAGAATCACAACTAGGGATTCATCGTGTGTTTTGTAATCTATATTTATTTATTTTGTTGTTGTTGTTTCCTCCGTGCAGGTTTACATATGAAATTGCCCCTGTTTTTGTCCTCATGGAGCAAATAACACTTCGAAAGATGAGAGAGATCATTGGATGGTCCAATAAAGATGGTGATGGAATATTCTCCCCTGGTGGGTTGCACTTCGCTCTTGGTGGCTTGACTAAAACTTCAAAAATAAAAATAAACATAAGCAGTGCTTGAATGCCCACATTTTTCATGAAATATCTGCAACTCAAAATGACATGTCACAACTTTAGAAATAGGCATTTCCCATTTGATGTATACATTTTGTTCAAACATAGCACTAGTTGAAGAAAATACTCTCTATCTTTTGGTATGGCTGTGTGCCATAACAAATGGCTATATAGAAATCCATACAACATTTTAAAACTTTGTGAGCCAGGTAACTATTTTTTTATATATAATTTACTTACTATTGCCTTATTCTAATACCTTATTCCTGGAGGTGCTGAGCAACCACAAACCTCGCTGACCAAAAACTTTTGAGAATCACCTACTGACTTCTTTGGTGAGGATTTGGGCACGCAGTTGGGTAATGTGCAACTGGATGTTGGTCACATCTTGTGGTATAGTTTTTCCAGATATATGAGTTCCTAAAATAGGATTTTGAAGAGCAGGCCAAAGTGTTATACGATGAAGGCAATATAAGGGTTGTCAGCAGTGGCAGGAAAAAAAATGGAAACCATGCAGAAACCCTAGGGCCTGTATGTGGACAAAATGGTCACCTAACAGAGCTCCACATTTGTAGGGGGGAAATATGCTTCATCAGAGGATGAAGGACAAACTCCACCTCCCTCTGGGATAATCAGCCTAAAATCTCTGAATGCACACTTCATTGTCAGTCACATCTGCAAGAAAAATATGGAAGAGCCTTCCTAAAGTTCTTGTTGGTGAAGAAATCTCAGAGGAATAAGTTCTCTTGGTTTTTATGGATGAGATTAGCCTCAATAAATGTTGATGCCTGCATTGTACAACTGTGCTGGCTATCCTGGCATCTTTTTGTAAATAAATCAAGAGAAATAGATGCTTTTCCTAAATTATCTTTTTTCAAAAATAAGTATCAAAACAGATTAGCTGCATCATAGCCTATGAAGTACCTCCTTCTGTTAACTGACTACCAAGGGAGCCGAGGATAACTAGCTCAGATGTAGAAATCTACCTTTAGGCATTTATCTCTACATCTTTGATAAGATGGAATAAAGCCACCCAGCATGTGACATTTCTTCAGTCCCAGTCAATTTGATAAGTTTCTGCTATTCTGGCTAACAAGAATCCATCATGTAAAGGCAGCATAATGAAAATGGATGCCTTTAGGAATGTGTTACAAAAATATCAGCATTTGGGAAAGAGATAGGAAATCCTGACTATCATTATGACCTTCCAGAGGGTCTGTCTCTATCTTGTTTAGACAGGTAACCAGAGATTTATTTTTCAGATATTTATTTCATTTCACAACACAAGAGACATGTTTGTCTTTGGTCTAATATGCTTTTTCTTTTCCTTGTAATCACAACTTCATTATACATTCATTCACAGGAGGAGCTATCTCCAACATGTACAGCATCATGGCTGCACGCTACAAGTATTTCCCTGAAATCAAAACCAAAGGCATGGCTGCAGTCCCTAAACTGGTTCTTTTTACCTCGGAACATGTAAGCTTGTTATATTATTAATTGTTAATTTACTGATATATATTTTGAAGATGTTGTACCATCTAATTACTACTCCTAAATAAGCATATGTTTTGTTGCAGAGTCACTACTCGATAAAGAAAGCTGGAGCTGCACTTGGATTTGGTACAGACAATGTGATTTTGATAAAATGCAATGAAAGGTAGGTTTTGATATATTAAATGTGTTCATCTGTTAAATTTGTTTTATTGTGCTTAAAGACTGGTTCAGTACAGTGTGTCAAGTTGCTAATGGCCTGATGAGAAAATACTATTAAATTATTTCAACTAGCTAGTATTTCTATGTGCAATCTTTAATTTTCTTTGTCTTTCTGTTTCTGCAATAATTACAGAGGCAAAATAATACCAGCTGATTTAGAGGCCAAAATTTTGGAAGCAAAACAAAAGGTTTGTGATCCTTAGAATTAGAGCTTTAATGCTCATGTTAATAAAATGTGTTATCTTGCCCTTTGAAGGCTGAGGGTTAACATTAACTGAGAATGTTTTAATAATATTTTCAGATGTTTAATTATGCATTTATGTATTGTTTTAGGCAATCATCTCTACATCTTGTTAAGGTTTCCATTTACTGTTTGAACTCTCTATATTTTTAATATTTATATTTTATTCTCTATATTTTATTTTATGTATTTTTAAATTCGGTCCCACATCTGTATTTTCTGATTTCATTTTATTTTATAATTTTCTGTTCAGGAATATCTGCTGGATTGGAAATGTCTACTAGAAGTATCTGAAGTACCTGGAATTTCTATTTGGGAATATTGGGAATAAACCTTGTGTTTGAAAAAAAAATATTAAAAAGTAAAGCTAAAACTAATTTTAGTCAAACCTTAAATTTATTCAAAACTATGGAAAATTTAGATCAGTCCTAAAATTCCCACAGAATTCAAGTGTGATTTTGCAGGATCAGTAACTGTATTGTGCGCATTATTATGTTTTTATTTGAAGTATTCATTATTACTTTTTGAATTAATGTAATGAAAAATCTATTAATATTCTATAGAGCTACTAAAGTTGGAGCTTTTTTTTAAAAAAAAAACCTTATTTACATTTGGTCATTCTTTAAAGTTGCAATTCACATTTATTTCACTTGCTTTGATTGGATAATTCCATATTTATTGTTTTTGTTTTGGGTTGCTTTGCTCTGCTTTGTTCCTTTTATGCTAGACAAACTAGATTTAACTTTACTTGATATTGCTATTTTGTTACTGAAGCATTTGAATCTCCTAACTGAAAGAGATTAGACAAAACACTGTATTCCGATTAACTAATTTTGTGAGGTTATAGTATGATAAACACAGTCAGTTTATTCCTACCATGTTCCAGTTTGTTAGTTTTTACTGTTGCTTATGTGCGTCTTTCACACGGGAAGAAAAAACATTTTAAGATGGGAAAATGTAGCAGCAACAATTCTAAAGACATTTTCACAAATTTTTTTCCTGGGCTAGGTTGGATTTTATATTCAATTAATATTTTTATTTATATTGTAGGGATACATTCCTCTCTTTGTAAATGCAACTGCAGGCACAACAGTATATGGAGCCTTTGATCCAATACAGGAGATTGCAGATATATGTGAAAAATATAACCTCTGGCTGCATGTAGATGTAAGTAGCTGAACAAAGTACTAGTTTATCTGAATACTTGAAACAAATGTTTGAATTAAAATATTTATTATTAGAGCTGGAGTAAATTAAAATATGTTACGCTTTTTTTTTCCAGGCAAAACAGTGACTCTCTTCTTTTTTCTCTCTATTCCAGGCTGCTTGGGGAGGTGGACTCTTAATGTCCCGAAAGCATCGTCATAAACTAAATGGAATAGAAAGGTACTACATACTGCTTATTAGTATTATTGTAACTGAAGCAGTTTTATAGGGGTGCATGACACTTCACAAATGCATGAAAAGATGACTTTGCTGCAGTAAGGAGATTAAACAGTAAATTAAACAAAAGCAAGACAGACAGGAGAGGTTCAGACCAGGAAGATTAAAGCAATACTGCAGAAGAAAACAGCTGAGAAGATGCACAGCTGAGTGGAAGGTAAGCAGACTTGAAGGGAAAAAAGGATATTGGTTGGCAAAAAAAAGAGGAAGGGAGGTTGTCCTAGGCATAGCTTGGAACAGGTCCCAAGTCTGGAAATGGGCAAAGCGAGATTTGAGAAAACCAAGGTGCAAGGACTTGAAAAATATAAAATATAGGGCTTTGAGAATAGCAATGAGGAAGGAAGAGTACAAAAACGCAAAGACATGACACTATGGGAATTTGCAGAGTTTCTCTCCTGAATGAGATTTGCAGTCATTTTCAAAAAATAAAAAGCTTGTGTTCTGTCTGAAAATTGAGCAAAGATCCTCTAAAAGGGCTTTCCCCATTGTGAGCATTTTATACAGTAAGTGAAGAAAAAGCATAGAATAAAGAATGGTATGAGTTGGTATGCAGAAGGACTGAACCAAGCCAAGGAAGAAGAAAACCACACGGACCTTTCTGGTGAGGGAAAGCGGTGTGTGGCACAGGGGTAGCTCTGAAGTAGCAGAACCATCTCAACCTCTGTCCAGTCGATCTGCCAGTCACTCATGCAATGGCATCAGGTCTCATATGGAATCACACACCACACACTGGTTTGTCACACACCCCAGCTGGGATCTACTGGCAACACTTAGGGTGGATTTGGCCTGCCTAGAGACTTGTACATACAGGGCCTGACACACAGCTGTGGCTGCAGGGCTTGAGTTGCTCTGGCTGCTCTGCAGGACAGAGCATGATGTTTTCTTGTTAAAATAAACTTAATGTTCCCTAGGAAAGCTATTTTAAACTGCCTCTGTTTGGAACTTTGAAATTAAATAAATATGCTCAGCTGGACTGTAGTTCTCACTTAAAAGAAAACGAGCTGCTACACAAATTCCTGTTTCTTACATACTCCCTGTGAGCTACCATTTTAGTTTCTGAGAATAAAATTACTTCCTAAGCCTATTTCTAAGTAGTCTCCAAGTGAACTATGCCCTGCTGGGCTGCGCTGGCCACACAGGTCTTGGTGGGACATGAGCTCCAGACGTGCGGCCCCGGCTGCCCCTTTCCTGCGGCCCCGTGTGCTGCGGTTGAACCTCATGCAGGCTGGAATCGCCCCTGGACCCTCTGTGGGACTAGTGGGCCTCAGACTCTGGGGAAAATGAGTCACCACATTGCCCTGGATAGAGGCTCTGCCTGTGCCCCTGGGAGCAGCGTGGAGGAAAGGAGGAAATCTCTGAATTTTCATTGAAGCACATTGTATGAACCCATACAAAGTCTGTGAAATATACAACTGCGGACTTTCCTTCTCTAGAAAGCACTGGGACTCAAGGGGACATTTGGTAATTAATGACTTAGAATGAAGAGGTCAAGAGATGTGTGAAGCTGGCACATTTATTTTCGCATCCCCGTTAAACTGCCTAGGATAGTGTGTTAAAATTACAGAACATGTCATGTGTTTGGCCAGTAAATTAATCTTGGTCATCCATTTGTACTTATCATAAAATGTTTTAAATTTTACACACAGAAGAGTAGGAATGTGCTATAAAGTTTTATAGCCTTTTAATAATCCGTGGGTTTAATAAGTTAATATAGAAAAGATCTCATATAGCTCTAACTGGAAAAGTGGATAAGCATTAGGAGTGTCTTTTCCTTTCCCTTGTATTTTTCCAGCAGCTATTGAAGGAATATTGAGGAACTGTATTTTCCTAAGTGCTCCAGGTTATTCCCTTAATTCTTTGCCCCTTCCATCAATCAGTACCTTGAACTGATATAAACCTGTCAAATTGTTCTTAGTTGGCATAATGCTGTTTCTAGAAGTGAAGTCTTCTGGGGATGGAGTTACAGTATCAGCTAATCAGCATAGCCTGACACCAATTGGCTGTGTTATTAACAATATAAAACTATTTAGCAGGCGATATTAATCCCGGAAAATACATTTCCTGGATAGTACAGCTGGGAAAGAAGACATCTGAGATATCAATACCCTCCATAGTGAAAATAAGTCAGAGCTCCATACATTTCCAGCTGAAAGCAGAAATCCGAGGTGACTATTGCAGGTTAAGTTTCTGCTTCCCAAACCTACCTGAATGTGTAAATTCTTTTGCAGGGCCAACTCAGTCACTTGGAATCCACACAAGATGATGGGAGTGTTGTTGCAATGTTCTGCCATTCTTATCCGGGAAAAGGTCTGCTTTCTATTTAATAATTAAGCAGTTAAAAAGGGAATCCTAAATATCAACTTTTACTTTTTAAGATGGTAGTGCAAAACCTATTCCATTTCATAAACTTCTTTTGGAGGAAATAAATGCACGATTTATGTCGTGCTTAGTTAGAAAAAGAAGGAAGTCCTTTTTCTGGTTTTGGTCAAAGATTCTGTGGGCCAGATGTTTAGCTGGGGTGTCTTTGCATATTCCAGTAACAAAACTAGAGGTATGCTAATACACTGTATTTGAGCACCTGCCCTACCTACCTATTACCTGCTGAATATATACCCTTTGTCTTGGTAATTATACACTGTTAAAACCACTTAAATAAGTGTCAACTATTTAACCTTACCTGCACATTTACCTTACCTGGCATGTCATCTGCTTCTGGGCAGGTTGGCTGCAGAGGAAATGATGCCTATGTGTAGAGCTGGAATGTAGGAGCTGGGGGCTCCAGCCCTGGATCTGTCACTGTTTTTCCGGGCAACCCATCTCTAAACAGAGAACTGTGATATCTACTGCCCTTTGTAAAATACTTTGAGATCTATTGCTGCCCAGCAGTGGCTATTGTTTTGGTGGCTGGCATGCTTGCCATGCTAACTATCGTAGGATTTTGGCAAAATTATTCTCTGCATGAGAACTCTGGGTGTATTTTGTATTTATCAGATATGACAGTGGTCTTTGAGTTTCTACAACAAACCACTAAGGTATTCTAGGGGAAATGCAACCTCCTTTAGAAATGTCATATATGTAAGATTTTTATGTAGTATATAATAATTTGCTTTTCTGACTTTCCCTCATATACCCTTAGAATTAATTCACAATTTTCCATTGGTCTGGGGACCATCATTTTAAAAGTAGCTGTTGCGAAGCAACTCCCACCCCAGAGTGGGGGGGAAGGGGGTAGTTTCTTATTTTTTAATATTTTTAAGGAAAAAAAAAGTATAGTTTAGCTTATTCATGCCTAGAGGATTACTAGTGAAAATTGTCATAAAGCTGGGCAATATATGATGTTGAAGTTTTCAACTTTTTTTTTCTTTTTATATAGTTACATACTGAATTGAGAGATAATAAGTTTATTCTAATGTATAATTTAACATATCAAAAATGTAAACCTTAAAAATAGTCTTAAGTCCCAGTAGCCTGACAAAGTTAGTATGGGAAACTCAAAATCCAAATTCATTTAAGGATGTTTAACTGGTAAGGGTCTTCTAAGTGAGGTTATGAAATTGTCTGTGGATCCTAGTTCTCAAAACTAGGTCAGTATTTCATAATCTGGTCCTTTAAAGAACAATTTTGTATACATTTGACATACAATACTTACATTAATGTATATAGTTTCAGATGAAGTGTGCCATATAAGTCTTGTATACATTCAAATATATGTTTTTTAATAATAGGGTATACTTCAAGGTTGCAATCAAATGTGTGCAGGATATCTTTTCCAGCAAGATAAACAGTATGATATATCTTACGACACTGGCGATAAGGCAATACAGTGTGGGCGACACGTGGACATTTTCAAGTTCTGGCTGATGTGGAAGGCAAAGGTAAATAATAAAGGTTCCATTCTAATATCAGAAATGTATATATTTCATCTGTAAGTCTCATACAACAGAGTATTTTTTAACAGACTACCTCTAAACATAGAGTTAGTATGTATCAAATCAAGAGCTGTTTAAGCTGTAGAACAATATTGGCCATCAGTTAATTCAGCTGGAAACTGGAATAAAGCATTAAGTCACTAGATGAGTGCAGTTCAAGGACAGTGCTGCAGTAAAAGCAGTGAGGGTAGGACATCAAAACAGTCTTCGGCGGTGATTCTGTAAACTCACATCAGGATTTTATGGCAGCAGCTGTGCAGACTTCATGACTTAAGAGGGTCTTTCTAGTCCTGTATTTTTATATATGGATTTGATTGGCAAGTTTGAAAACAAGGTCTGCTTTTTAAGGGAATTGCCTGTCTAATGATTTAACAGTTGATTCTCTGTCATTCAAAATAGTTTCCATTCTATGTCCATGCCCTTCAGCAAAAACTGGGAACCTAACACTTAATATTCTTGATATTTTTGGAAGTTGGAAAAAATAGAGCTAAAATCTATTAAAAATCAAAAGTTCTTTTAGTTATCATAATAAGTTATCTTAAAATCAGAGCAAAATCAGAATAATGAATATAGCTATCACAGATGTAGCCACTTATGTAGTGATTGATTACCTTTATTTTTAAATTCGAAAAAAAAATCCTGCTGAGTGTTTTACTTTATGTATGAAGTGGTTTACACGTGAAGCTTATCTGAAAAGATGATTGCATCAGAAAAGGAAAAATAGCCATATAGTTAATACTGACCTTCTTTTTAAAACAGGGTACAGTAGGATTTGAAAATCAGATCAACAAATGCCTGGAACTGGCAGAGTATCTCCATACTAAAATCAAAAATAGAGAAGAATTTGAGATGGTTTTTGAAGGAGAGGTAAGCTTTCTTTCAATTAACCAGCAGGCAGAAGCCAAATCTATGAAATTCTGAAAATAGTCTTGACAATTCTCAGAGTTTTTCAACCCAGCTATGTTGAGCTCTTAGTTTCCAAAGAATAACATGACTGTTGAACATTGGACAGCCTTTTGGTCAAATGCATGTGTTTTTGTGTTGCAAATATCCAGTTGATATTCTCAATTTAGGGTATTAAGACTACCTTAATAAAGCTATTCATGATAGCATGCTAGATGTTGCCACATACATAACTATAAGCCTGCTATTTTTGCTGTATTTTCAGTTGCTAGTGCCACTACATAAACTTGTGGCTGACAGAATAATAAATATGCTCTCTCTTTATTAATAAATAAAGGAAAATTGTTTTTCCCTTCCTGGAAACCTGGAAAACAGTTCCTCTTAGGACTGCATGAGAGCGAAAAGCTTTTGTGCTTTATTAGCACCCTAAAACATTATAGATGGAACAACTAACGTGGTAAGATGGCAAATACAAATAGCAGTGTTGTAATGCATGTATTTTGTTCTAACATATAGAACCAGCAAAGTTAATACTATTTTTGGGCTTCCATGTCTGTGTTGAACTATGTTGCTGTACTACTGTGAGCAATCTGTATTGCTGTGCTTATTGATGTATGCATTTGGTTATTCTTTTTGCAGCCTGAGCACACAAATGTATGTTTCTGGTATATTCCACCAAGTCTCAGGGGCATGCCGGACTGTGATGAGAGAAGAGAAAAGTTGCACAGGGTATGAGGCCTATATTAAATGCAAAAATGCAATCTACAATTTAAACACCAAATATTCCATTTATCAAAAATAATTTGCAAGATATGTTGGCACATGTTGCTGGTTAGGCACTTGATACCTTTTCCCCTTTCTGTCCTATTTATATGGTGGCAGAAGTCACGTTTCTTTTCCCTATAGAACTAAATACAGAACAAGAATCATTGTTTGTTATGAATCATTTGTATGGCTCCAGAAGTGTATGTTAGTTTCAAAAGTAGCTAGGGAAAAAGTGGTCCCTGATGAGGACTGCACATCATCAAGGGAAAGGGAAAAGGAGCTGTTTGAAAACGGTAGATCAGATAAAGGACCTGGAAACCTATGCATTCTTAGGTCTTTATTTTCATTTTAAATATTTTGGTTAGTGACGAGCGACTTCACAATATTTGACTAATTAATGCATTTGGGTAAAAACGAATACCCTTTGAAGAATTTGGGGATAAATTTATTTTAAGGGATGATGGAAACGTGAGGACATAGTAGAAACAGCCAGGAAAACTTTTCACGGTAATTAGAACTCAACGGAAATGAAACACATTACGTTAGTAGTAGCATTTTAGACAGAAGTGGAGTGAAGTAAATTCAGGAGACAAAAGAATGAAATAATAGTTGTCAAAATGAGTTGCAATTTTTTTTGTGTGTGTGTAAGGCAGAAGAATAGGCAAACCTGGGAGGTTTTGTAGACTATTTTGTGGCTGCATTAGGCTGGAGAAAGGCAACAGAAGACAACCGCAATTGCTGGGTGAAGCCAGTGACGTGTTAAAGAAATTGCCAAAAGTGAGAGAGAAAAAAGGAAGATGGATGAGACCGAAGAGAAAAAATACATATTTGACTTTGTTCTCTTAAATGTTAGAAGCTATTATAAAGTATCCTACAAAACAGTAAAACAGCCAGAGAAATGGCCTTGGCTGGCAGGGAGTAAAACAGGACAAATAAGGTCTGAATGGCAAAGCTGTGCTTAGATGACATCACATGTTAAGTCTATTGGAACATTATTCCTTATAAATCAAAGCAAGAAATGAAACTGAGGTAAAGGTTTTGACTGCAAAACTACTGAGTTTCCACAGCTTATGCTAACAGAAAATATTATTTATGAAATAGATCTGGTTTAAATTTTTCCATCTTTTTTTTTTTTTTCCCAGCAAATTGGCATTCAGAATACATAATATTCTCATGGAAAGCATCAATGGTCCTTGAAAATTTTGGAGAATATTTTCAAAAAAAGGGAGAACATCTTTTTTATGATAAAATCTTTTTTTTTTAATGCTGTAGCAGAACAGAGTGCTTTTAATGTCATCTAAATGTGCAGCATTGAATATTGAAAATGTGATTATAAATAACTTCATTTTCAATGTTCAAACCATAAGAATAATTACTTAGCACATAGAAATGACATATAGATTTGATATCCAAAATTATTTCATATAGAATACTCTAGGTTGCTATTAGTCTCTTGAAAAAAAATTCTTAAAAGGAGGATTTCATTGTTGCTCATTTTCCTTTAAATATCCATACCTGGAAACATATTTAGTTTTTCAAGCTTTTTCTTTTATAGATTTTTAATATAATATTGTGCCTTTACAATTTGTCTGTTTCTTTTTATGTTCCAAATTCAGAAATGCTGTGACATAAAAAGAGAGGAAAAAGCTTCTGAGTTACTTATTACTTTCTCTCTCTCTCTGTCTGTCCCTGTTATATTTTTTTCATTGCTTGTTTGTTTCTTTTTTTCTTTTTCTTTTAATTGTTTTGTTAATAAAGGTGGCCCCGAAAATCAAAGCCCTGATGATGGAGTCAGGTACTACCATGGTTGGATATCAGCCTCAGGGGGATAAAGTCAACTTCTTCCGAATGGTCATCTCAAACCCAGCAGCAACTAAATCTGACATTGACTTCCTCATTGAGGAAATAGAGAGACTGGGGCAGGAGCTGTAGTACAGTGGTCAAATTATTTATTTCTCTAATTCACTGTTTTCCAGTACTGGCTATTTTTAATCCAGTTCTGCAGAACATGTTTTAAGGAAATTCTCTTTCTGTAAGCTCCAATCTCCTGAAACATCTTTAAACAAAAAATCTATAGGATACTGAAACATATATGTATTGGTAGATAATTTTACTGAGGGAACACGTGTTATCTTGAAGTTGAAGTACTATTGACTCTTACATTGGTTTTGCTTATTTTAGTAAGCAGGAAGTGAATAAGTACTAAAATAGAAATTTAAGAACTCTACATGGTATATATGTACACTATAAATAAATATCTATAAATAAATATATATATATATGAAATATATATATATATGTATAAGTGGTTATAAACTTAGATCCAAGCCACAGCATGTTTTCCACCTTAAGAGAAATAACGTTTCCTTCAACAACTAACTATGTGGATAATGTGCTACAGATTTTTCTGGCAGGTAAAAATAGATATATAGAAATATTTCTAAAATGTAGATTCTAGGAGCTAAAAAGAAATGTTTCACAGTATTAAATCTTATTGTTGGTGCTTCTCTCACATACAAAACAGCAGTCTCTAACAGCACCTTTGAGTAAAATAGTTGTACTTCCTCTTTAGCATCACATCGGGGATAATTGTAGCAGAGTCATTGTAACAGGTATATATTGCTGTATTTTTAGAGGTTTAGAGGTTAATTTGTGTAGATTGTGTATATTATTGTTAAATGACTTTGTGTAAAAGGATTTAAATGTAATAGTTTTACAGCAAGATAACTGTTCAATTGCAGGTATATGAAATATTTGCTTATTTATATGCAGAGATTTACCATGCTAAAGAGTTGTCTTGTATTTTCTTCCATTTGTAATGTATCCTATTTATATATTACTGAAGTTCTAAATAATGTTTATGGTATTTTAGTGTATTTGTGAGCCAAAGAAAACGTACAAAAATATTAGTTGACACTTTCATTTAAATATAATGCCCTCAGAATAATGACTTACAGATAATTTTACTGATTATAAGGAATTCTAAAACTGTATATAGAATGTCTAATAATGAAATCCCTTTAATTTAATAGGATTTTCAGTTTTATTAATTGTAATGTCAGACTGTCTGTTCAGTGTTCTGAATGCTTTCCTAGTGAATACTGGTTGCTAACCAAGGCCCCTGTGATTGTGTTATATTTCAGGACTAATCTCTCTTATTTTGGCTTAACTAAATTCTATAGAAAGATTCCTGAAGGTCTATAGCATTTCTGTAGGAGTCGTTTCAGTGAAATGGAGTTGACTATACATTTTGGAGCTTATAGAATAAACAAACCCAGAAGTCATCTCAGATTCTTTAAGTACAGCTGGCTTGGCAAAACAGGCCACACTTTTCAAAATATGGACACCAGAGTCATATGCAGCTTGTTCCATTTTAACGATTAGGTAATCGATACTAGCAAGTGGAAAACTCCATGCCGGAGGCAGAGCAGTGGAACAGAATGGAGATTCAATAACCGTTTGCCTATAGAATCACTATCATGGCAAGAAATGGGACACACTAATTCTAAATCTTCTCATACCTGATTCCATAGCTATCACCCATGGAAGTCAGTAATCAGTTGCTGTTTTTTTCCCCCCACATCAACACTAAAATTAATTTTAGAAACATTCAGTGAAAGAAAAGACTTGCACTTTGATTTAGGATTGCAGTGGCAGCGCTCCCCACCTTTGAGGCTTTGCCGTACGTGCCAGGAGAGCAGTGCAGCCTCTGTTGCTCCTTGGGAACGGTGGTAACGGCCAGGAGGGATTTCCATCCTCCCGGTGCTGCTGGCTGCGTCTGAGGATGCCATCTCACAGCTCTGGTTCACTGGCAGATGGACAAGGAAGAAATTGTCATGGTAAATGCCAGGTCATATGATGTGGCCTTCCCAGCTTTTCCTAGGGCTCCTCTTCAGTCCTCTTCTCTAAGCCTCTGTAAAACTTTTTTCCTGAAATCATTTAAGTCTAAAAATTATACTAAATTTTCACTCTCTTTCAGCTTTCTAGTCATGACTTTCAGCAGATTATCTAAATTATTACTTTTATGCCATAAATTTCTCAGTGATCTCAGCAGTACATGATTCCTTTTGTTAGATTATTTTTCTCTTGACACAGCTGTTCATGTCTTACTTTCTTAGTCTTAACTCTTATTCCTCCTTAATTATAAACCTGATATCTTACCATGTCTTCAATATTTAACATTTTTCATTTAAAATCCATGCAATGGGACAGAAGACCTGCAATTTAGAAGCAGTCAGCATGAACGCTGGCTACAGTAGCCACTTCCATAATGTTAAATGTCATTCCTTATAGATACAGGCTACTCATCAAAACCAGGAGGCTTCTCATTAGAAGCTGTTTTCAGGAGTATGAAGGGAGTCTGTTTTGAATGTATATGGCACATTTTGAACCATAGACTTCTGCTTTGAAGGCTGGTTTCTGTCACAATTTTACTTTATTCAAAGACCAGCTATAAAAGACCTCTGTCTTTGCTGTTTATGTGAAACAATATAAACTAGGATAACAAAGGCAAAGATGTCTTACTACTAGCCCAGCTTCAGTGGGGGATTTTGCCTCTTTCACACAAGCAACACACTAATCCTTGTGATTTCGTCAACCAGTTCTTAGGTGAAAATTCCTGACTTCCTTCACCTCTTTAACTCCTTAGCCAAAGTATTTCAGTAACATTATTACTGAAGTTCTAAGCTCCCAACTTACCCTTAGTCCTTTAATCTTAATATTGTAACTGCATGATTTTTGTATCCAGATTATCTCAATATTACAATAATAATTTCTAGTAGGTGAAACTTTATACCCCTAGAAGCATATAAACCAGGTGAAGAGAATGAGTCTCATATAGCTCACTCCAGGAAAAGGCATAGTATGATTAATCTAAGGCCACACAGCAAGCCTCAGGCGGCCCTTGGACAGAACCTAGTTCTCTTCTGCACATGTAAAGTATGTTTCTCACTAAAATCTTTGCTTCTTCATTTAGTGGAGCATCTTATTTTTGGAAGATCAGAATATTAGGGGTTGCGGCTGTTACCAATGGTGACTTGAAGGTGGACAGGAGCAACAGAGACCCTTCCGCCTCTGTCAGAAGGGCAGGATTGCAGTCTCTTAAGACAAGGGCTTTAAATTTATCTTCCTACACTCTGCATTTTATCTTACTTTTCTGCAGTGTTGCATCCTGAGGAAGATGATACTTACAATTAGTTATTTTCTCATATCATCCAATGAATTTCCCCATTATGTCTACCTGCTTCCTTCCACAGGCACAGGACTCATGTCAGGACTCACTTGCAGCTTGGATAGATAATTTCAAAAGAGGAGTCAAGTTCATAGGTGAGAAAACTCATCTGTATTTTGTTCTCAATAGGTAATTTTAATCTGAGTAATATATTACAGCTTCTCAAACAAAAACTTACCCAGAATTTTTCTGTGCTTTAATTCATACACTACTGAGTGTGAAAGATCAAAAAGGATATGTGGAAGTGATGACTAATTCAAAGCATTGAAATTACAGGTGAGTAACTGTTTTTCTGAGGTTTAAAATATACTCTAGGATAGTGACTTTTGTCTTTAAAAATCACACTGACAGTCACTGGCATTTTGGGTGGGTGAATTCAGATCAAGTAAACAATAAGCAAGGTGTTAGCTAACTGTGTAGCTGCTGTGCTTATTAGCAGATATGATTTATGTGGAAAAGACTGATCATTGAATAAAAATCAACAGCAGCTGCTGATTTTTGAATGACAAAAATTCTGACCAAACTACTAAAGGTCCTTTTTCTGGAGAACATAGTTGGATTCTAGTGTTCATGGTAGACGGACAGAACCAGGGGCCTTGAGAATAACCTGGAATTTTAAAGTCATCATTTGTTCAGTTCATAATCTGTTATTTGAATGGTGAAAACTATGATGAGATTTTTTTAATAGAATGTCTGTTTTGTGGTTAAAGAAATGTCAAAATTATAAAGAAGATATGCAATGCAGTTTTAATTTTTCAATAAAAGTTGATCTTAAAACTGTCATTTTGTCTCATACAATTTGTGAGTTCTTTCATTTCCCTTTCTTACCTACTGAAGTTCGTGGGTGTGTTGTGTGTGTATACGAGTGATTGCATTTCTAACAAGTGAAATTCTTCATTAAGAGCGCATGCCTTTCTCTGAGCTATTCTAGCTCCCCTGCAAAGAGATGGTTCAAGTGCCCGATTCCTGTGAGCCCGGGCAGCAGTGGCAGCCGGAGGGAGGGGGTTCCTGGTGCCTCTGGGACCCCATGTCAGGCTCTGCCTGTGCCCTCCGCCAGCCTCAGAATGACTGGACATTTCTGCAAGCTCCTTCCCATGTCCTGACCCAGGGCCGTAGGAGGACAGAGCTGCCCAGTCCAGATCCCAACCTACAGCTTCTGCAGCTGCTGCTGTGCCCTCCAGGTCTAGCAGAAATGGGCTTTACTGCTGCACAGCCCTAGATCCACTTGGCTCTTGGTTTCATTGTATTGAGGAATTAACATCTCCAGAAAACTGACTGACTACTACTAACTGTTGGATTTCACTTTGGAAAATTCACAGCCTTTAAAGTGGTGATTAATTGTAGTAGTTAGCACAATGCCTTGCAATCTTAGACATATTTGTCTTGGTTTTATCTACGACTTAAAAATATATTATTTTAATTTGCTTGTAGGTAAGCTGCTCCAATAATTTGGTGCATTCATTTATGTAGGTTGCATTTTTTTTTCTCCAAGCATGTTACTTGTACTTTGTTATGTTATGTTTCAGGGTTAGTACATTTCTTTATATTCTTTTGCTTCATTATGGATCTTCAATTAGTCTACATATTTTTCAAGAGAGATTTTATGAACTTGAAAAGAACCATGTTTATTTTCCTTGCTGTAGACACTGAAAATAAAAATCGCAGTGAGTTTTTACTTTTTTTTTGCCAGTCCTAGTGAAATATAGTTTTTCTATGTTTACATTTCTACTGGTCTTGTCATCTTACAGTTATAATGCGATGCCTATTCTCTTGTCTTCCAAAGGTTATAATGCCTGCCTTTTTGCAAGAACTGATCAGATGCCAGATTGCATTTGTGCTTGCCGTGGCTCCCTAGTCATGTGAACTGTAGTTGCCACCAGAGCGCTGCCTCCGTTTGCCCCGCACTAGGACTGCAGCCGTGTTGAGAGCCGCGCTGAGAGCGCACGCACCAACCCCAGCAAAATGTCTTCCTTTGGAATACATCAGCATTGCTCTAAAAAGAGCTACCAGACTAGCAATTGCTACAATTTGCCTTCCCCAAAAGTCTAATTTTAGGTTGTCTTCTTTCTCGCAGAAAGTCTTTGACAGCAGTGTCAATAATTATGGTTAACTCTTGCTGAAGGCCTTCAGACCTCATGATGACTGTCTGTACACAACACTGCTATACCCATGCAGTTACTGGTGTGCTGAAAGTGCTCCAGCCCTGGAATAGACAGTCTTTGGGAGATTTGGAGACTCACTCATTTACTCTGCTGCTCAGTCCAGAGCTGTTTTTAGTAAGCTGGAAAAGTGACCCAAAGAAGGACCTGAAATCAGTGAGTATGCTATAGTGACTTGGTTGGACATTCAGAAAAATGTACATGACTGGAAAATGCCTCTTTCTTTCTCCTCTTAGCAAAGAGCAATCAATTAAAATAGCTTTATGAGCAAGTGATCCCTGTGTGGGAACACAGATTCAGTCTGGGCTTTGTAGAATGAACTACTAACTCATCTACCTAGCTACATAACCTCTGTGTGGGCATAGTTTCTGTACATATCTACATCTCTAGGGCAGCAACATCAAATTATTCCTCACTTAGAGGACATCCATTTTTTTTTAAAGGTAAATTATGCTTTGTGTCTTCCCAGCACTGTATATTCCTGACATTTTCACTGAAAAGAACAGACCCACTCAAGTGTGCACGTGTGCATATGAGTGAGTGAGGGAGAAATGTTTCTCTGTGAGGCTACAAGACCAGGCTTTTACCTCTGTGTTTCAGTGGGAGATTAGACTGGGAGGGAAATCTATCAAAATAATAATAATAATAATAATTCAGATACCCTTTACATTGCTGGGTGCTTCAGATACAAATGAAAGGAAAAAGAGGTTGGTGGTGCCAAGGAAGAGTAATATGGCAACAATTCAACACCAGCAGAATTGCCCAGCCTGCAGAAAGCACACTTCTGTAAGTAATTTGCAAAGTAGTAAAGAATCAAAAGAAAGCAAGAAATCTATATATATCTAATATCTCTCTATATATTTTATATGTATATATAATCTGAACCATCTTGTAGTATGGTCTTTTGTAGGAATACATTAGATGTGGAAGTATATTTAAATATTTCCCTACCCATAACATTACTCATTGAAAGATGTGGACAGGAATTGTTGAGAGAGGTTAACCTTGGTTTTACCCATTTTATTCCTTTATTTTTAGCTATCTTACATAAGGATTGTTTTCTAATAGTGTGGACAATTTATAAATGTTATAAAATGTTGAACAATATATAAAATGGTAAAACAATATATAAAATGTTATAAAACACTGGGTTTGTTCTCTTTTGCTGTACGCTGTGCAGTGCAAATAACTTTTTAATGATCTTATAAATTGAAAATACTTATTATGTTATTCATAGTTATCCATGCACTGTAAGCCACATTGTAATTGGGGATAGTATTATAAGGTCTGTAATATTTGTAGGTTTCTGGGCTCAGTAACATTTCAAAGGATGCAACTGCTGAATTGATGCATCAGTAATGGTTGCTATTACTTTGCACCTGACTAATTCCTGGGATTTAGTGGGATTGCCCTTAAACAAAACAACAACAACAAAACAATACACAATTACAACATTACTAATTCATTCAGTTAGGTTGTAATCTGACGATGGCCTCTCTAACAGACTGTGACCTAAGAGCGTAAATAAAGAGGTAATTGGGAACCTAGGTAAAAGACAAAAGAGTGAGCTCACTCTGGTGTGGGTGCACTGAAATTTAGTGGAATTGCGTACAGGAAAACTAGGGCCAAATATGATGCACCAGAATGAGGTGTGCTCCTCTGCTTCTGTAAGAAACATGTTTTATAGGGTGAGTCAAAATGAGACAAATATTGATTCCCTGGCAAAACTTTAGAAGAGTCAATAAAATGGGATCACAAATTTTTCATCCCATTATTAATGATTAGTATTTATTTGGCCTAAATAGATATAATACTAAACATGCTGCTAATATTTCCTCATTGGTAAAGAATTATACTGTATATTTATAATGGAGAAATAAGAATATTTCCTCTAGTTGTATTAATGTTCTTATTGGTGTTAATCATTAGAAAAACTATATCAGGACAGAGAAGCTATAAAAGAGGTTGGGAGATGGGGTCTTCAATGACTGAGGTGCTTGGACAACCTGATGAATGACTGCTATTGATGAAGGCTTTTAAAATGGCGTCATTTGTAGAGACTTTTTAATTATTGTTTTCAGTAACTTTGTTGGTTTTCTAAAAAGTTTGCTAATTGGTAACTTTTGAGGGAACAGGAAACTAACTTTTGTTTTAAGCTGAGCTCCCAGCCCCAAGGGCAGCCCCTGCCTGCGCCAGCTCTGTGGGGACAAGACAACCCTCAGGCTGCATCTCACCTCCCTCTTACACCTCTCCTTGTTCCTCTGCCAGCCATTTCTGTGGCTTCCCTTTAAACCAGCGGGTAAACTGCCTTTCAGCTGCTGGCTTCCTGGCCACAAGAATTGCTTCTGCACTAGTGTGTTGATGGTGACAGCTTTTGCCTTCATGCTGGCTTAAATAGGAAAAATCCCAGAAGATCGTCAGCCCGCATCCCTGACCCAGCAGTGCTTGAGGTTAGGACAACATCCTTGTTTGTGACAAGTTTTAAAAGCCATGTAGGACCCTTGGAGAAATACTTTTGGTAGGTAGGATCCGTCTTCTTGAAAATACTACTAAGATCCTCCAGAAACATTTTTGAAAGTCCTGGTAAATGTGTTGCCCATCAGTTCTCTTTGACACACGACAAAATGCTACTCCTACAAGTAGGAAGGAAGAAGCCTTGCAATGACTAAGATTCACTCCTTACTGTTACGGATAACACCCCGCTCTTGGCAGTGTGCTCTCCCCCAGCAGCCAGCCCGGGCACTTGGGGAGCGACTCCTGTCCTGGCAGAGTCAATCCCGCGCTGGAGAAGCTGGCAAGAGGGGAGCCAGTGTCAGCGGGCAGGAAAGAGAAGCTTCAGCAACCGCCTGCCTCTTCCCAGCCAGCACAGTGAGTCCTCAGACCTGTTGATTGCATCGAAACCTACAGATCTAATCTCAGAATAAATAAAACATATGCAGCACAGCCCGGTGGGACCCAACTGGGCTTGCCAGCTCATTTCTGCCCAGGTTCGTGCTCACTGAGGAAAGTAAACGCTACCATTGCAGCAGGTTGTGTTAGTGAGGCCCACTGAATGGGTCTTGTCAGCAGCACGGAAAAGCGCTATTGCCCTGTATCACTGAGCTTTCCCCGCAGGCACTTCAGATGACAAACTGCTCATTTTGATTCTTAAGCGCCACACATGGGTGACATTCTTTGCTGCTGTCCTTAGTACATAGCAGGAGGCGGAGAGTGTTTCATCCACCTGCAGTGAGATGGAAAAGCAGTTTAAATAAATGGTCATTCAGGGACGCTGCATCTTGTAGCAAATTCTGTATTAATTCAGTTGAGCATCTTTGCATCCAGATAGCTGTGGAAGTAACTTCTGGCATGTTTACCTTTACTGAAACTCCCTGTTTTGCTAAATCACTCAGGAAACACTGCAACATTTCCTTGTTGTCAGTGGTGTCAAGAGCACTTGGATACTCAGGGAAGGGTTAACTCCAGCTCCAGCCTCTAGCCGCTCTAATGAGTACCTGAGAGCCAACTTTCTGAGGAAAATGACAGCACCTGTTTTAAGGCCAGGTTCACAAGATTAGGTTAAACCCCAAGCTTTCTCTCTCTATTTAACAAATTTATTTCTCCCGGTAAGTGCTCTGTAAGAGAAAAGCCCTCTGACCATAGTGAACTCATTGCTTATAG